TTGTACGAGGATGAAGAGTATGACCAAAGACAACTAGCAGCATTAGTTGCTTCAAAGGTATTTGTTTTTTGAGAATTTTTGTTTAGCATCAATTCCTCACACCACATCCAAAAGAAAGCAAACCCCAAAAGAAAGGAGGTCAATTATTCTGCAGAGCAGATTAGAAAGTGAAATTGTCTAGCCTTATTCTTTCACTAGATAATTATTGTGCAAAAGAAGACCGAGAGAGGGAGAAAGATTATCATAGAAAGAACTGATTTTGTATGAAAAGATGAATAATTTTCTCTCTAATCCTCTCACATGTTCTTTTCGTCTTCAGGTTTTCTATCATTTGGGTGGACATAATGACTCATTATCCTATGCCCTTGGAGCTGGCCCTCTTTTTGATGTTACTGAGGACTCTGACTATGTTAATACCATTCTTGGTAAAGAAATTAAATCTGTGCATACTCTTCCAATGAATGTTTTCTATGTATGCACTTAGTTACTTAAGATTCATTTATTTGCAGCTATTCTTGTAAGGACTTCTTTCCTAGCTTAAATATACCTGTTGTTTCTGTGCTGTCTAGGCCGAAAGTTGTATTATTCAGTGTAGTGGTGTTAAATCTCAATACTTGAGATATGTGCTTCCTGGGGAAGTAGTAAACTGGATACCTGAACACTTGATATGGGTTGATTGAACTCTCGAAGTGGGAGGCTTTCACTTGTTTTAGCTGCTGTGTCTTATACCATTTAGCTGCTTTTTTGTTTCTCATTTAATTAATAACACTGGGTTTGATGATGCGCTTCTGTCCTCTTTTCAGCTAAAGCACTGGATGAATATGCAAGTCATAAGACTAAGGCAGCCGAGTCAAATGATGAAGCTGTAAAGGTGGATCCTAGGTTGGAGGCTATTGTTGTGAGGATGCTTGATAAGTATGTTAACTTTGTCCATATTATAAAAGATAATGCATGTATATTTCTTTTATTAGTAAGTGAGACTGATAATATATGATGTATATTTTGTTCCTTAGATGTATAGAGGAGAAAAAATATCAACAAGCCATTGGCATGGCTATTGAATGCAGAAGGCTGGATAAGATTGCTAAAGCAATTAAAGAGAGTGGTAATGTTGATGCAACTCTATCATATTGCAGTAATATCTCCCATAACTTCGTCAGTCGCAGAGAATATCGGAGTGAGGTATCGATTATTATGAGATGTACACAATATTGATCCTTGAACACACTAGGCCTTGTGCTTTTTCCTTTTCTTTTCTCCTTTCAGTGTTGCTCTATAATCTGATCTACTTGCTTGAGTTTACCAAAAAAGGCAGAGATGTTGCCCCCTTGTCTGTTCTCATGACTGTGTTGTCACTGGCAAATAAGTAATATAGTAGTAGCTTATTCTGTAATTCTCACGTACTACTAGCTCTCTGTTCAAAGTAGTCATTTATACCTCACCAATTGTTTCCTTGTTTGCATCACCTTCTTCAATTCCCTTCTCAGTAAGATTACCCTGATCTAAATCTGCATGTTATCTTCGTTTCTTTGGATGTGTTTTATTGTAGATAAAGGTAAAATGATTACCTTAAGTTGAGGAAGTACTGTTTTCACATTTGTATACCAGATTAATAGACTACTAGCGATTTAATTGCTTCTATCAACAGGTGCTTGATCTTCTCNACAGGTGCTTGATCTTCTTGTTAAAGAATATGAGAAGCCAAAATCATCTCCAAACTATTTGAGCATGTGTCAGTGGCTTATGTTTTTGGATAAACCAGAGCGCGTAGCAAGCATATTAGAGAAGCTTTTACGTTCAAAAAATAACAATGATGCTCTACTGGCATTTCAAATAGCTTTTGACCTAGTAGAGAATGAGCACCAAGCTTTTCTTTTGAATGTAAGAGACCAACTTTGCAGTCCACAACTACAACAACCTTCAGAACCTGCACTCATACCTGCTGAGTCTGATACTGCACAAATTGGAGATGCTACTGCTGCGGAGGATGTTGCAGTGAGCGAGGAAAATCAGCCTTCTATGCCGATTGCTTCTAGTGCAGATCCAAACGAAGCAATATATGCAGCAGTGTTTTTGAGAGCGAGAAGCGCAAAAAAGCGACAGGGGCTCGCCTAGCTTCAAAAACGAAGCGCAAAGCGAAGCGCACGCTTCATTGAAGTGAAGCGCAATTCTTAAAA